TATTTTGCCATTTTTAAAATGCAATAATTACTGTCTTCACAGAGGAGTTGCTGGCTTTATGCAGTTTGCTTAGAATGTGAAATGTCATGTGAGTTTTAGGTACTGCTGTAGTCCTTTGTCCACACGCCCTGCTTCACGAACAGAGTGTCTATAACACAGCAATGTTAGAAATATTTTTAATAGTAGGTGTAGAAGATATCATCAAAATAAAAACAAAGCCTGCTGTCTCAACATTACTTTAGGGCAAAGTGCCAACTAATTGAAAGGTCTCAAAACAAGTTTTGAGAATTAAATTGCCACATTTTTGCCCAAGGTTTCCTGGACACCCACTTGATCCCCCACGCTGCATGAACAAGGCTTCCTGAGAGATTTGGCCCTTCTGCGTGTACATGCAGTGCAGTTGAGCAGCACATGTGCAATAAGCCTGATACTTCCCAGAAGTGTCCTGATGTACAGTATGTATGCTGTAGAGCCAGGCTAAGCATTTCTGTGGAAAATGTCCATGCATGTAACCGTAGCCCACAAGTAGTTCCATTAAGCCTATCTGTGTAAATAAGCCTATTTCTTTTCAACAGTTGGAATTTAAGGAATTGGCTCCCTAATAAGTGGGATTCTGACTACAGCTGAAACTCTGGGTGGTAATGGAGTGTATGTTGTAGTGTTTTAAAGCCATGAATGGGCTGAGGTTTGATGACAGCTGCATCAAATTAACTCTAGACAACAATGAACTTCACTTAATATTTCAGTGAATCTAGAATGAGCTGCAAGATTCAGATGCAACCCAAAGCAAATGGATGTGTTATCTGCTTTCATAGTGGAAGTTCCTCAGATTCGCCTAAAGTTATTGGAAGAGATATTGATGTTCCAAACAAATCTAGTTCCAACATCACTGAGCTTGTTACTTTTAAGTAATCAAATAGATCTATGATCTGATCCCCAAATTTAATATTAAGTTTTGGGCTTCACAGAGTATGTTTAATTATTAACAATTTTAGACCTGTCTTGTTCTACAGGGAAAAGAGAATCAAGAACGGAAAACTTAAAAGAAGCCTTTTTCCTAAGTTTTTTATGTTTATTACAGCTACTCACTGAACAACTTCCAAAATAACGTCAGGCTTTGAATATGGGACATTTGGAGCCAAAGTAGAAGTCACTCACGTGGCAGCTGTGAAAGCAGTTCCATCTCATAGCAGCAGTCATGGGCCACATCCTTCTGTGCAGAGTAGCTATTTGTTGTGTTGTTACAAGAAAATATCTATAGGGATCTGCATCCTGAACATCTGTGACTACATTTGTGACTTGTAGGTACACGTGGCAATGGCTTTTGAGCATGTCATGCTGTTCCCTGAGGCATGAGACTGCAGAAGGTCTCTAGTCCATCAGCTATGCCCAGGACCAGTGCTTTGCATGTCTGTGTCTGGCGCTTGTGGAAGCACTGTGACTATTTCAGAATCATGTGTGGGAACTTGCTGAGACTATAATTCTATGTTAATTCACTATGTTATTTCTCAGACTGTGAAACTCAGCCCTGTTGCAAGACATTATGTCCTTCAGGAAAGAGAAATGCATTTGTTAGTGTCCTCTTCCACAGTTTCCTCTTTCTTGCCTTTAAAACCTCTCATGACGTGGCTATCATCAGAGAAATTTTGATAGAACTATTTTTCCATGGAAGAAAACAGCTCTGTCAAAATAAAGGCATTTTGAGAAAACATGTTAGTCTTGAATATATTTTACGAAACTAAAAATTATGTCCTCTTGGTATTTTTTATAACATATGATAATAAAAATATCAATAACTGTAATCATCAAGACTGTTAAACAGCTATGCAATGAATATCAGTTTTGTCTACATTAAATGTTTTGTCAGCCTAAATAATTGGGGAGTCAGGTGGGAGAAGATATATTTTTTACATTATTTTTGTGTAAAGGCAATCCATGTAACCATAATGATTAATCCTGTTGCCTATGGTAAAATTATTTAAGATTGGATGCACAACTTTTGAGCACCTTTGGACAGGCAGCCATCAATAATGTTGGATTCACAGGAATAATGGCTGTCTTCTCACACAATATACAGTCTGGATCTAATCTGCTATTTTACCTTCTTGATTGTTTCATGTTACCCATGGAAATGAACATTCCTTGCAGTTTGCACTGAGTAGATATGCTGTAGATAGAATCTCAGTTTACCAATGAACAAAAGCAATTGAAGGAAGAGTGCATGCCTTGATTACTGTCTTTTGCTTTCACAACTATGCTATAGAAGAAAAATAGACCATCAAGCAAGAATGACATTAGGAAAGTTGCTTGTTATTCACGTAGAATGTGTCAATGCAAATGCACATGAGTTGCATTTTGGATCTTTTACGAAAACAGTTATTATATGGCATCTTCTATTTCAAATAGGTAATACAGACACTCCTTTTTAATGTTTGGTGAAGACTGATCTATTTTTGCTCTTCTTGCATGTTGAATTCCCATTAAAATTAAGAAAAAAAATGAGTCATGCTGCTCTCTTCACTGGGAATAAGACTACTCCAATTAAGTGTGCTTTGCAGTTCTCATCCTAGTCTGCAGTGGCAACCACTTTTTTCTCTCGAGGGGAAGATTAGGCAGGAGCAAAGTTAATTCACATTGCTTTGAAGTATCCTGATCTTTTCCTGTTTTCTCCATGCACATGAGTATTCTTATTCATACTAGTAGTACTAGTAGTAACTCTTTCTTTGCTGTTCCTGTTAAAAAAGACGATAAACAAATGTTTATTTTTCCTCTCACTTTACTCAGTCACAGACTTGCCTTGGATTATACCATTTTCCCCACTGTACCTGTTGCATTGTATGGGCAGTATCTTTCCAACATGAAGATGAATGGAATGTGATCTCCTGAGAGTCTCTAGCCCTTATCATAGAATGGTTTGGGTGGGAAGGGACCTTCAAGACCATCTAGTTCCAACCCCCCACCACAGGAAGGGACACCTTCCACTAGACCAGGATGCTCAAAGCTTCATCCAACCTGGCCTTCAACACTTCCAGGGATGGGGCAGCCACAACTTCTTTCAGCAACCTCTTCCAGTGTTTCATCACCCTCATTGTAAAAAAATTTCTTCTTTAGATATCCAATTTAAATCTCTCCTTTTAGTTTAAAGCCATTGCCCCTCGTCCTATCACTACACATCCTTGAAAAATATCCCTCTCCAGCTTTCTTACAGGCCCCCTTTAGGTACTGGAATGCTGCTCTAAGGTCTCCCAGAGCCTTCTTTTCTCCAGGCTGAACAACCCCAACTCTCTCAGCGTCTCTTCATAGGAGAGGTGCTCCAGCCCTCTCATCATCTTTGTGGCCCTCCTCTGGACTTGTTCCAACAGCAACATGTCCCTCTTATGTTGAGGACCCCAGAGCTGAATGCAGAATTCCAAGTGGGGTCTCACGAGAGCAGAGTAGAGGGGCAGAATCCCCTCCCTCGTCCTGCTGGCCACACTGCTTTTAATGCAGCCCAGGACACGGTTGACTTTCTGGGCTGCAAGTGCACATTGCTGGCTAGTGTTGAGCTTGTCATCAACCAACACCACCAAATCCCTCTCCTCAGGGCTGCTCTCAATCCATTTTCCACCCAACCTGTACTTGTGCTTGTATTTGCCCCAACCCATGTGCAAGACCTTGCACTTGGCCTTGTTGAACTTCATTAGGTTCATAAGGTTCACACAGGCCCACCTCTCCAGCCTGTCAAGGATGGCAGGATGACATCTGGATGGCCAACGCTCTGGATGACATCTCTTGTTTCTCCATGTTAGAGGATGTTTCTTCAATTTAGAGGCAAGGATGTCATGCGAGAAAGCGTCAAATGCTTTGGACAAGTCCAGGTAGATGATGTCAGTTATGCCTTTCATTCAGTGTCTGTAGTGAATTGTATGAGGTGCTCCCTTCCCATAGGCTTTGAATGTACTGCTTGTTTAGGGTTCCCAGGCTAAAGGCCAGAAAACAAATTGCACAGCATAACTATGGCACTTAATTTTTTTATTATTATTTTATTCATTATTTTTATCATCATACTACTTGCCATTAAAAGTTACTTACAGGTGCAAACCTTTACAGTATTACTAAATTAAAATCCATCTAAGGTGTCCTTTAACATTAAATAAACTTACTGCAGTGCATATTTAAACTCTGAGATGGGTTAGCCATAAGATATTTGTGTATTAGCATGAGCTCAGCAAGAGGAAACTTTTCAAAATGGAGGGAAATACTGTCAAGATGAATGAATAGAGAGCAAGAAGTTCATTCATGTGAGCTCTTACATAACCTGTATTTGATGCTTCTTTATCTGCCCCAGCAGATTGAATAAGAAGAGCTTAAAGATTCTTTCAGTGAGTATTTAACAGCATAATGTTGTTCTAGTTCAGAATATCTGTGCAGCTCGTCTAGATTAGTCTCAGGTAGATCATGCAACATCAAACCAATGCAAACTTTCTGCTTTTGTCTAGCTAATAATAGGAACACGTTGCTTGAACTAGTTCTGAACCTGGGGATTGAGGTATATATTCATTTAAAAGGATTCACTGTGAAGGCATCACAATGAGATAATTAAGGGACCTTATGACCATAGACTGATTATACACCATTTCATCTTTAAAAATTCTGTTATGAATTAAATATTTTGTTTTCAAACACATTTGAATATTCAGTTAGTTTTGCGGTAATGTAGCTTCCAAGGCTTTCATGTTATTGTTAATGGTATGTTAAAAGTGCTAGATACCTCACAAAAATATGTTGTATTGCTATTTTTGGAAAGTCTGAAGCTTTGGCTTATGTCTCAGTACAAAGAAGGGAAGTATGAAGAAGGTGATTAAAAGTGCTAACTCTTTCTGAACTAATCAGTAGCTGCTACTTTTTTTCTTGTATTGCTTTGAAAGCACTATGCTTGAAAATAAATCATTTCCACATCTTCAGTGAAGCATTAAATCCAACAATTTGTAATTTATTTTTTTCTTTTCTGTTGATAACAGAATTCAATGTAAGTTGCAGATATGGAGGAGTTTTTCACGTTGAGAAAAATGGTCGCTACAGTCTCACACGATCTGAAGCAGTAGAACTCTGCAGAGCTCTCAATAGTACCCTGTCAACACTAGAGCAGTTGAAGAAAGCTCATGAACTTGGATTTGAAACTTGCAGGTAAAGAAATTCTTGAATAAATAATCTATCATAACAAGTCTATCCATCCATGCTATAGTGTAACAATTACAGTTGGCTTCATGTAGCTGTTAATTAGATGGCTGTATCAGTCCTCAAGTTATATTCTGTGATGAGCAAAACATCTTTGTACATGTGTATGTTTGCTCTGGGTCCGGTAGCAAATAAGTCCTTGACTGCATATACATTTTACCAATTACCTTTAAAGAATCAAACGTCTTACAGATGAAATCTAAAGATAACCAAAGAACAACTGTAGAATAAACTAATTAGGAAGATGTTCAGATCATATTGTATTACTGACTAATTGGTAAGATAAGTATGTGAAAAGTATTTATGATTTTTAATGACTCGATGTAGAGTTGAAGACTGAAGATGGTATATAGAGTATGGGGAACTCCATTTTGTCAAGAAACAGTAAAAACAGCAAGTGGTACTGTGAGGGATGAACTCATCACTGACATCCCAGTGAAAAAGTGGCCACAATATTAGTGTATTCTTATAATCTGTGAATGGAGACGTTTCAGAAGACAGCCATAAAAATTATTTAAAAACCCAAAACCACATCGTCAAGTGACTTAATTACCCTCTGTAATTAATGATTTATAGGACAACAAATTATTATCCAATAATACAAACTCTTCAGTTTAGCAAAAAATAACTAGACCAAGAGACTGGAAGTTACTCACAGAAGATTTTGAATTAAAAAAAAATAAGTAAGTACTAACACAACAAAATATGTAAGGATAATAAGTATTGGCTGAAACAGCTTACAAGGGTTGTAGTAGGTTCTTGTCATGCCAAAATTTCATTGAGATGAAATGTTTTACCCAAGGATGCCCTCTCTTCAAACAGTAATCAAGTCAGGACAGTCCTATAGGTCTGTAAATATGTCAGACTAGATGATCATGTGATCTTGCTTTACAAAATGCATAATACACTTATTATGCAAGTTGTCCTAAACATTCATATGCAGAAAAGAGATTGAACTCAGGAGCGGTAAATTTGAAGTTGCTTTTTTTTTTTTTTTTCAGATCAAATAACATAGTCATGTTGGTAAACCGTTATAGACTTGAAATAAATTTCAGTAGATATTCAATCTTTATTACAGTCTAAAACAAACACCAAATATGGATAAATTAAGTTTATCTTCTAACTGATTGAAGTAGAAAAGTTCAGTGGGCATTTCTCCCAAATTTTAAGACTTTCATTCTGGTACCATGAGAAATAGAACCAGCATCAGTACTGCTTGCAACTATTTCCTGTGAATTATTTCATTTCAGTTTAATTAGTGGTGCTTTACTTTTTTAATGCCTAATGCATTAAAATGTGTTTTGCAGTGGGGAGCTGTAGTTTTTCATTAATGTTACAATTCTCCCTAATTCACATTGTAGCAGAGGACAGATTTGGACATGTAAGGCATGTAGGTAGGATTCCTTCCTCCTTTTCTTCTGACAGCCCTCAGTAAGGCTAGGCTCTTAGCAAGCTTGGGTAGGAGAGAAAAAATATACTGCATACAATTATCAAAATACACGTGGAATAGTGAGTGAATAGGGTGAATCAACAGACCATAACACTAGTACATGATTAATGTCAACATCGTAGGCTCGGTTGGAAGTGTGAGTAAAGCAGTTTATAATTCCATCTGCACACTAAACTTAACTAGAATGGGGCTCACAGATTAAAATCTGCAAACGATGAAGCCTCTGAAATTTATTCCTCCCTGATAATTTATACCTCTCAAGAAGTAACACTAAACCCAATCTAAACTCCAGTTCTCATTACCATTCTATCACACCTCCAAGCTAAATATATTGGAATTAACCAGGTGTTACAGGATTGCAAAACAGTAATTAGCCATTGTGCATTATGTAGCTCCGTTAACCACAGTCTTCACTGAAATATGTGAGCTCTGTGCACAATAGCGACATTGTTCAACTGAAAGATACAGTAAGAATTTGTGGATGAACATTTTACTAAGCTGTCAGCTTTTGCAGAAAGTGATGTGTCTTACAACCATTCTCTAAATTTGCTCAGATACTGTAAATTGAACCCCGATGTTTCTGTGTGAAATGTCACTGAGCGGTATGATGCGTGCAACGCAATGAAAATGTGACTCCTCGAAGAAAAAAGAAGCCAATCTTTAGTGTCAGTTAATGCAACTTCACACTGAATAAACAGTGCCCTTGCCTCCTTGTCCCTCACTTTCACTTCCTTGTCTGGAACCAATCGCCCTAGCTAATAAGATGCTCACTCAAAATAGGTTTAACTCTAGAAATTACAAGCCAAATGGTGTTGAGTGGCTGGAGACTGATGTAGCTACATGTCAGAAAGGAACACCCTTCATATACAAAAAGTATGCATAAACTCATGCACTTTTTAAAAATATAGTAGGACGAAAATAATGGCTTCTTCATGTTGGAGATACCTAGAACCTTTACACCATTTGCTATAATATGTAATGTGGTGTATTTTCCTCTATTCTTCACAGGTATGGTTTTGTAGTGGGGAATATTGTTATCCCACGAATCAATCCCTATCATCTTTGTGCAGCGAATCATACTGGCATTTACAAACTTTCAGCAAACGCAACTGGGCGGTATGATGCATACTGTTATAATGCGACAGGTATGTATATGCTTTTATGATGTATTTTGGATATAGACTAACTAACAATAACATATATAATCCCTTATTTAAGGTACTGGAATGAGGGCTTCTATATTAAATATCACCTGTTTTTCAGCTGAGAAGAAATACCTTTTTCAGCTTCTAGAAGTGTCTGTAATGCCAGCAATTAATTTGACCCATTTTGTCGTTAGTATGCTTTGAGCCTACAAATACTTGAGAAAAGATGGTGGGGAGGTGGGGGAAGGGCTCTTTACATTAGTGTTGGGTGATAGAACAAGAGGAAATGGGTATAAGCTTAGTCAGGGGAGATTCAGGTTGGATGTTAGGAAGTATTTCTTCTCTGAAAGGGTTGTCAGCCACTGGAATAGGCTGCCCAGGGAGGTGGTTGAGTCCCCATCCCTGGATGTGTTTAAGAATAGGGTGGATGATCTACTTGAGGATATGGTTTAATGGGGATTAGGGATGGTTGGACTGGATGATCTCTAAGGTCTTTTCCAACCTAGAAATCTATGAATCTATGAGCTAAACAATTTTCTGCCTCTGGGATTAACTTAGTAGCTTCAGAACAGTTGGTTATAATGGCTTAGTGCAGTGAACCACTGAACCAGTGAATCTAAAAGAGATAACTGTTGCAGGCAATGGCAGTCATCTCTCGTATTCATGCACACACAGAATCATAGAATGGTTTGGGTTGGAAGGGACCTTCAAAGATCATCTAGTTCCAACCTCCTGCCATGGGATGGGACACCCTCCACTAGGTTGCTCAAAGCCTCATGCAACCTGGCCTTCAACACTTCCAGGGATGGGGCAGCCACAACTTCTCTGGGCAACCTGTTCCACTGCCTCACCACCCTCAGAGTGAAGAATTTCGTCCTTATGTCTAATCTAAATCTCCTCTCTTTCAGTTTAAATCCATTTCCCCTTGTCCTATCACTATATGCCCTTGGAAAAAGTCCCTCTCCAGCTTTCCTGTAGGCCCCCTTTAGGTACTGGAAGGCTGCAATAAGATCACCCCGGAGCCTTCTCTTCTCCAGGCTGAACAGCCCCAACTCTCTCAGCCTGTCTTCATAGGAGAGGTGCTCCAGCCCTTGACTCACATAACCTTCTATAGTGAACAATAGTTATTTGTGTTAAGCAATGGTAAGAGTGGTTGCCATTTGCAGCAGCTCCAAGGCCCAAGGTGGTCATCCCAGGCCCATGGACATGGCTGCTGTTTGCAGATTCATTAGTATTTGCTCTCAAGTAAATCTCCATTCAGACATCAGGCAGTTAGATAGTGATGTGGTTCAGAAGATCACTTCCTTCTAAGGTTTTGAACTTTTTAATAGTTGCAAATATTTTACTAAATTATTAGGAAAATATAGATAGTCTTTTGACAGATGCTGAACACAGTATTTGAAGATAAAATCTGGACTAACTTCAAGTGTGTTGAATTCCAGTAGATTATTACATTCACAGTGGAAACAGATCTTACAGAAAGTTGAAAGCAAAATTCATTGATGATTTGAATGGCAGTGATATTTTTTTATTTTATTCTTGGTGGTCATATAATTAAAAATCATCTTTGCATGGCGTAGTATCAGGTGAGCTGCCATCCTCTGTCACCCACAGATGACACTTCTCCTGATACAGCTATGTCCATCCCCACCAGAGCTTTACAACTCCTCCTGAGTGTTACTGTCTTACGTCACTATGAGCAGGTGCCTCACACACTGGCCCCGAGCGTGGCACTACAGCCCACTGCAGCAAGCAGTGCTTACCAAACCAGGGCACACTCTGCCTGTGCAGAGCCCTCTATGGAGGGGATGGGGTCCCTCCAGCTAAAAAGGATTAGAGCTACCACTGCCACCATGGCAGTGGGACTGTCTGCGTTGAAACTGCGTCATAAGACTATTTTAACTGACGTTGATTGCAACCATGTTCTGGAATGGTTGTGGAAATGGAGAATCTCATTGTTAGCTGACAGAGCAATCTCGAAGTGCCTCACCTGGGAAGGAGCAAAAGGGGACTGTAGGTAGATCAGTGACTAAAGTTTGATTTGGAAATTTGTTTTCAATTATCCACATCTGAAGCTGATGTTTTGTGATTATGTACAATTAATATGGGTATATATGTGACTCTTTCCTCAATTTTCTCAAATTAATATTTTCTGTTTTCCTTCTTTTACAGAAACAAGGGACAAAGCATGCGAGCCAATTGAAAGACTAGACTCTTCTTTCCTCAATAATCAGGGTGAAATAGGTACTGTATTGTTTATAAAAAGCTACCACTTGCTTCATTTTTAGGATCTGATTTTCTTTTTTTAATTAACAATTACTAGTATTAAAAATCAAGCCAAACATAAGAAAAAAAAGTCAATAGTTGGTCAACAGTAATTAAAGCAATTAGTCACTTGTCTTTCCCTAGAGCTCTATTTGTCTCAAGGTGCTACCAAATATTTTTTAGCACCTCAGAACTGCTAATGTTTCTTTGACATATAGGACTTCGCTTAAGACGGCAACCTTTCTACATCTCGTTTGACCTGCTTGTTAGAGAAGGAGCTGGAAATAGAAGAAAACTCTCATAATAAATTATTTGTTCCAATTCTAAAATTCTGATGGACTTTACAGAGGCTGAGATTTTATGTTCACAATCAAATTGTCAGATCTAAATATCAAAATATTTGATACAGACTTAAGCCTTGTATGTTTGACAGATCTATACGTTAGCAGATATACATTAGATAGTTTAGTGATGTATGATCTAGACAGATCAGTTAGGATGGTAAAAATGGATGAAGTGGTATTAATCCACAACTGTTTCTCTTTATTTTTTTGTTATAGTACTTAAACTGTTTAGCATTACTGAAATATAGCTATGTAGCTCCTTGATATTATCAGCTGCTTAATTTCCTCTTTCCAACAGTCATTGACAATGCAGATGGCTCACGTTATAATGCAGATGGCACGCGTCATAGCGGCGAGTCCTCATCCTCAGGTGTGGATGATGAAAATGTAGGTAGTGGATCAACACATGACACAACTCCCACAGATATCTCCATCAGGAAAGCCAGCCCCTCGTATTATGGAAGTGCTACTCCAGTCTCACAGCTACCAGATCATTCTTCTGGAGGAGGTGAAAAAGAATTTCCTAGAAAAGATTCTGGTAAGGACAGTAGGTTGCCCCTGTAAAATAACTCTTGTGAAGGATTGCATTGCTAGTTAAAGGATATCATGAGGCAATGAAAAGATCCGTCTCTAATTTATATCCTGGAGAAGTACAAGAATGTGTGTGTTTGAAAGAAAACAGAAGCATTCTGAATTTCTAAGGATTTTTTTGATTGCATGGGAGTACAAAGCAGCCACACATCAGCGTAGCTTCCCACCTAAACCTTCCCAGGAGGTTGAGAATAGGTGGTTCTAAGAATTTGCTCTTGTTCTTATTAAAATATTTATTTCATTAAAGACTCAGAAGCACATCTATCAGTGAACACGGAGAGGTTAGTGAGACTGAGGGCATGGGTATATAGAGATAAGGATGACATATACTTCTCTGTTCTGCAAAAGGATGAATTAACAATAAGAACAAGGAGGAGTTTACAATACAAGTGATTTCTCTTTACAATACAAGTGATTTCTCTTTGCACAACTACAGGAGTTTTTTAGGACGACTTACCATATTGCGGAATGCACAGAGAGATAAAAATGACAAATTAAAATGTTATTAATATATTCTTGGTGGTAAAACCGAATTCTGTTTTAATGAAGCCCTATCAAATACAAATGCCATAATCTTTTCCAGGGCATTCTACAGGGTGACAAATTAGTGAATTAGAGTGCCTTGCCTCTATCTTGCCTTCTTGTGAAAGTGATGCATATTTTGTTTCATCTCTTATGTTGCTTGTGTGGCTGAAATTATCAGAGGTCTGGAAGACTAGCTCCTTAGAACTTAAGGGATAGACTCCTAGAACTTAAGGGATACAAATACAATTCATCCTCTAAGTACAGTAAAGTTTACTGTATGATCTCTGACTACTGGCTTTTTATCAAATCACCAATAACTTACCAGTGAAGAATACCAGTAGTATGCATCATTATCCTCAATAAATACTGAAATTAAAAAAAAAAAAAAAAGCAGGACCATATAGGATTAGAAAATGACTTTTTACTAGTGGTATGCTCATGACATCTTTGGCTTGTTTTTCCATGTAGTTAGTATCATGAAAGGTAAATCCTAACATTCTTTTCCTAAGGAACTAGGATCAGAGCCATTCTCCAAGGTGCGTGCCATCTACTTCAATTGCTTGCGATGACAATTCTTAGCAACTACTCTTAAATGCAGAGTTTAGATTTTTTGGCTAGATTTCAGAATATATCTCAGTAAAGAGGGTAATACAAATAACTCCACTCATTGCTTTAGAATCCGTGTCCAGATGGTATACAGTTACAATTAGAGTTTGAATCACATTAACAGATAATTGCCAGAATGTTCATTGCCACTGTAATACGTACTCCTCGTGAAATAATCTGTTTTGCTGATATCTGTAGTATCTTAGTAAATTAAGGCTATTTGGGGTTGAATTATATGAAGAGTCTAGTCTGCATCTTTCCTCTCTCTTGGGCCAATAAATGAAAGAAGGAAGCTTGCAGTATAGAATAATTGAAGTAGTTGTGAGTACTAAGTTTCAACTCAGCTGATGAAATAGTAATGATTCGCTCTTCACCATACAGATGATGAAGTTTATCCTGTATCACCTGACATCTCTTTGGTTACGGCTGCTGATGAAAAAGATGGTGGACAGTATCCTACGAGTACTAGTAAGATTTATGTAATATAATAACTACATCAAACATAGATTGCATTAAAACTGCTTTCTTCTTTCAGGAGGACATTCTGATAAGTGGTGAAGTATACATAATTTCCAATTTTTGAAAGACGTTCAGAAAGATGGTTGTTTTGTGTTTCCCACTGCTTTTTTATCACACCTGTTTATGAAGCACTACAAATCAGTGCAACCAATTACCACTGAACTCAATTGATTTCCAAGGTAGAAAAGGATATTTTTGTCAATTTGTGATGAAGGTGTCTGTGATTCTAATACATTTATGGTTGTGAATGTGGGTAATCCACATCAAAAATACAGCCTCACTCACTAAAGTAGTGCTTTAAGTGGCAGTTCCAATTGCCAAGCCACTTGCGTGCTGCAAAAACTAATTTTGTCCTTGGTGTTGGCAATGTGCATGAGAAAAAATTGGGACCTATGGTGGCTGCACAGGCTTTGAGGGCTCAAAAGAACAGTAACCATTTTCTCTGCTTTCTCCTTGAAAAGCTGTACTGAGTGGGGAAAATCTGCTTATGATGTTTTTATCAAATATATAGTGCACAACAGCTACAGCAAATAAAAATCTTTTAAAGTCATCTTACATGTTTTAAAGTGCAACTGCACATATATTCATTCTAGTTCTTAAGTTCCTCTAGTTCTTAAGCTCAGAGCGATAAAGATCTTTGACCTGGAAAATAAAGTGAACCTAAAGGGAGAACATTTTAATTATACAAAGGAAATCTACAGAGGTTGGTCGTAGTAAAGATGGAACTGATTGAGATGAAAGTTTCTTCCTGTTGACTATTTTTTCCCACCACGGAAGCCCGTGATAGTGAGGAATTTCTTTAATTGGCCTATGTGACTTGGAGGGCTGGTGCCCTTGTTACTGTATTTAGAAATCACAAGATAGAGTACGAATGATTGTATGTCTTACACAGTTAGCAAAAGCTTTACTAAAAGACAGAAATCATTCAACCAAGCATCTTGTCTCAGAGGATGTGAAGGTTAGTAACTCCTTATAAATATGTAAATGGAAAAAGAAATACCAGATTGATTTTCCCCCAAACCTTGAAAGCAAGTAGAGAATTTTCTGGTGCTTGATTCAAATGCAAGGTTTTGATACAAAGTATTGCCTGCAAGGTAGAGGAAATCCCACTTGGTAACAGTGGAGAGTTTGTCTGGTTGACTCCAGTGGTGATTTTTCCTTCATATTCATTTGCTTTTGTATGTATGAGTGACTTAGTGCTTCCTTGTACAGATGTTTCTGTAACAGTTGCAAAAACCTGTGAAGTGCTTCTAGGCAGGAAAGCTTTCAATTTTTCTTTTAGTACTTGATTATCAAATGTGTTAATTGTAAATACGTGTGTCCTTCCCTGTTGCTAACAGGTCTCTCTCATAGGCATGACTATTTTACAGAGGGAAAACTAGAGGTATTTAAGATCTTAAAAATAACTACAGAGCTGTGCAATAAAAGATTTCAATACTGATACCTGTGTATCACAGAAGTGATAGCATTGGCATGATGGCTTATTGGTTTAGGATTGATAAATTGATTTTCTGGAAAAAAGGATTATGTAGGTACTGCACCTGTGCTTTTCTGATATCTTTAGCCATTACTCAGCAACATCAATTTAAAGCCAAACAGACCCATGCCGTTTAATTTTTCTATGTTACAAACGAATGAGTAATTTAGCCCTCCTTTCAGAAGTTATGTATAAGCTGTGCATCTCCATGAGAAGTCATCAAATATTTAGTAGCATAGGAGAAAGGTAAATGGAGAACAAATGAAAAAGAAGATAAAGCCATGCCACAATGTCTACTATTTACATTGTGCAGCAGTACAAGCTCATTGGAATATCCCAGCCACAATTTAATTTCCCAGAGAACAATCCCACAGACAGGAAAGCAGAAAATTAAGAGGAATTAAGGAAAACTATTTGGCATATATCTGCAGGTAGATGGCTAAAAATATATCTGCCTAATTCTATAGTGAATGAAAGAGAAATACAACTGGTGGCTCTCCATGTGTACTACACACCACTTGTAAACAAAGTTTGGTGAAAAGGTGTCTAGCCTGATCAAAACACTTCTTTGTTATGGGCTTCAAGTGAGCAACTGCCACAGTTCCTTTTTCTTCAGATGATCTCCTTTCATTATTGCCCTGGCTTTGTATGTTATTGGTGATGTTCTCTGTGAAGTTCACAGTTCAGATCAATACACTGCCAGCACTTTGCCATTTACTTTCTTTCCTGGCTGAAACAAGTTTTCCTCTTTGTAATTAACAAGTTATGATTCATCTGTAGATGTGCCATGGATCAGATGTCATAAAATTCTATTCCTGATTGATGAGATACTTCCCTAAGTTATCAGAGCTAGTTATCCAAATAGTAAGCATGACTGATTTTGTTGATCCATATGTAACAGACATTTTTATGCTCCGGTGAATTTTCCTTTTATTTGGTTTGGAGGATTCCCTGAAAAAAAATCTCATCAATGAAAAAAAGGTTTATGTCTGTACTTTGGCTGATCTGACAGGAAAGCATCTGCATTGGTATTTTGTATGTGGAGGGAAGCCACGAATACACATTCACTTAAGAAAATGAGTTCCTAAGGCTTGTTGTGGAAAGCAGGTACAGGTAAGAATTTTGCTGTGATTACAGTAAGTCAGATGGCAATTATTTAGTTATTCAGTTATTTTCTTGTTAACCGATTTTTTTTGGCATTATCATTTTGTTCACAGTTCCATCCCAAATCTCCAAATCCAAGACCACCTGGGTATTGATTGTCTGTCACTCAGAGATCAGATTTTTAATGTCCAGGTTTCTCATTTTCTGACACCAGCATCAGAGTAGTAAAAGTTTAGGGAGCAATTAGTGACTGTGAGAAGAGACAGTATTTATTAAGTCAAGGACAGCTTTTCAGAAAGGCAAAATCTGTTAGGTTTTTTTTTTCAAGCTACACCTTGAAAAAGTGCAGTTATGAGTTTAAGTCCATACACTTTGTACACTTTACAGATAAACAAAACATAACTACTGCAGACTGAAGAACATCAGTTTATCCTGTTTGATCATTAGAACTTTGATTCCCAGGTCTTGCATTTTCCAGTGCTTTCATATATTACACAAAAATTGATCAAAACTAGTGTCTTTGATGTTAGTCTTCAAGGTACATTAATTATTTAAAGATTTTTTTTTCTGAATGAAAAAGAGTACATGATATCTTTTGTTCATCTTCAAGATATAGAAGTAAGATGGTCTAAATGCTGATAAAAATATTGCTTGTGAGGGATTTCCAGAATAAAAATATTTCCAGAGAAACATTATGAAGTAGATTTTGCTTTCTTTTGGTGAATATGTGTATGACTTGAATTGCAGCTCTTCTTGCAAACTCTGCTTCTCAATTTATTGATGAATAACTTTGTTAGCGGAGAGAAAGGGTAAACTATCAACTGGCTTGCTTGAGGGATTTAAATTTCTATGGTGTGCATGCTTCTATTAGCTTGGAATGCTTTTTGTGAAAATACTGGAGTGTATTTCACATACAGTACATACTTTGATCTGTCACACCTGAAAACGCTATGCAGAATTCGTTGACTTTACTGGACTTCAGGAGCTGATAACACGATCTTATACTTTAGCAGAATGTTTCAAACTTCATTTACACTAAAAACATTGGATATTTTTGCTGATGGAAGAATGTCATGATACCATAGGTTCATACATTCGCCTTGCACTCACATCCGTCTCAGTGGCGTGAGCATGCTCAGGGTGCTGGTGCTGGTGGACTTGGCTTTGCTGGAGAAAAAGTGCTTCTCAAGAAATAATAACAAGACCTTGGTTGAATGAAACATGTCCTAACAGCTCCAGGGCCTCATCATGACAACCTGGAGAAAGCCACCACCCAAGCTCGGTGGAATCCGTTCTCAAACCACTGGTGGTGGTCAAATCCTGAAGAGAAGACACAAGAACCTGTGCAAGCAATCAAGGGTAAAGAATGTCATGCTAAGAGGGCACTTTGATTAGGGGCTGAATAACCAGAGCACCAGGGCAGCAAGCTGCAGAAGAATTGAGTAGAGGGGGGTTGGACATGTGACATGTCACTGCTTTTCATTACCATGTGTTTGAAATGGGAAAAGCAAAGTACTGGGCTCTCTCTCACTGACTGCACGTTTGGTAGAGATAGAGCAGTTGACTACATTGTTCATGTATTGCGGAGGTATTCTGTGTGTCTGAAAGGGATGAGGATGTGAGTCATTTTAAAAAGGATGTACTTGGGTTTTTCTTTCTTCCTGTTGGAGGCAATTTAGAAGTAGACTATTCCAATAAGAAGGATTTGTGAGAGAAAGGAAGAAAATGTTTTCAAGCCAGTACACTATGCTCACTCTGCTAGAAGAGGACAGAGTATGGTTAGTGCTGTGAGTGTATGTAGGGCCCTGAAATGTAGCTAAAAGCCATGTTGGGGCAGTTTCAGAAGGGCCGTGGCCCTGATGATTTCCTCGTGGGTGGAAGAACAAGGAGGAGATACGGACCGTGGGAAGCATGGTGCTGTACACTCTCCTCTGTGATTGTAAGGCTGCATGTAGGGGAGACAGGGAAGCATAACTGCTGTCAGCAGAAGACTTTGTGAGTTAGGACTTCATGGCAGATTTAACATCATCACAGCAGATGTGACCTCAAGCGGCCATGGTTCAGATGACGAAGACTCTTCAGAGGAGACAGTTTACCCAACAGTGTTTACAGGCTGGGACAGGAGTGTGGCCAAGGACGAGTATGCTCCAAGTACTAGTAAGGAACTTTTTTCTCTTTGGATGGATTCTTTCTTCTTTTTCCTGTCTTATCCGGTGTTCATCCTCCTTTGCCACACATACATTACGTACAAATTGGATGCTCTTCTCATCAACTGTTCCTTCAGAAATATGTCTTTCATGATTGGAAAAATCATATGATCTGTATCGATAGAATTAATATCTCTTATATCACTACTTAAAATTAACTTCTCCGTTTCATACCTATTTGAATGCATGCATTCACTCCTGATTTTCCAGGGGAAAAAAAAAGTTTATCTTTTTTTTTATTTTTTTCTTCTTTGAGAAAACAGTCTTAAAATAATTCTGTTCATGCTATTTATAATCTACATCTATACAATAGTAGACTTCCTGTCTGTGGAAGATGTTCAGGCACAATTTGGGGATGCCAAACCCCAAGTGCCCTTTTCACTGGGAAGTGTCAGCAAAACATTGTCATATTTGCTACCTTCCACACTCTTCCCACACACTTCTCTAACATAATCTCATTTATTTTGTGACCTCAGATGTTTAGGCATGATCCAGTATCACAACTCAGACATTTTAATGCATAACCTTATTTTCCTGATATGAATAGTCCCACCGTGACCATCTGATAGCTCTTTTTTAACTAAAAAAGCTATCCATATCTAAAATAATTTTGTCTCAAAACCAGAAAACCACTATATGTGAGGATGCTATGTATCACTGGAGCACACAATCTGCTACTTGGCCTTACGAACAGGGAATGGCCCCAGCACTGAGGAGTTTTTTGATGTAGATGTTGCCATTACTGACTGTACTCAAATGCTCTTATTTGTACAGAGATAGCAATCTACTCCTTTTTTATAATTCAATTTAATTTGAGCACATCTTAATGTGTCTTTTGTCTGCACTTATTTACTCAGTAGTATTTATAAATCACTGTTTATAAGCTTTTTTCTTTTTTTTCCTGAAGATAGTGAAGTATTTGGTTTTTTTCAGCAATGATCTTTGTTTTTATAAACAAAATTCTTCAAATTTGAGTTTAAATGTCTGTAACTGCCATAATGGTTTTGCACTACTTCTGCTTTACATTATTCTTCTACTGCTTGTTTTTTCCTTTCTTTTTGGGAAAATTTGCATCTGTCCAATGCAAAGAAAAGAACAACTGATTTGACGTAAAGGGATTTAATAAGAAGAGTAGAGAGACTACAGTTAAACTGTATATTAATTTCCATTTTCCATCACCTTTATGGCACACACTAACAGTAGAGTAATAGTGGTAGATATAGAGCATGATCAGCTGAATCCTCCATTGTCCTAACAGCTGTGGACTTGCAACATGAAACACTTCTGGAAATCTCCACACAAGATCATTGGAACCCCGCCTATACCGATGAAGAGGAGCAGTATCCTAGCTCTGCTGGCAGGGGTAAAGCAATTAAACATTGCAGATAATATTCAGATTTGTGACATAATTCAATGAAGTATAACGCTGTTATGGTGCAGCTGGTTGTAATTCCCATACCATTAGCCTCAGTTTAGTGTAATGTCTTTATATTATTTGTACTAGAGCCCTCAGATGTGGGATCTGTAGCATTTATCTGTCATTCCAAGTCTATCTTTTGCATCTAGTCTTTATTACTTGAGATTTTTCCTCACATCTCTGGGATTTTTAAACTTGCACTGCCAGTAGTGTAATAAAACTGAGAAGATTGTAACATTTGGTGATCTGTCTGGTGAGAAAAAAATTCCCTTTCTTCCACTTCAAAATTTCTATTGTAAAATCTGAAGACAAAAGACAAAAAAAGGGAGCTAGTGATTCAAATATGTGAAACTGTGTTACAAATGATAATATACTACCTCTAGATGAATGTGAACATTTTGCTACCAGTGTTAGCGACAGTAGCCAACTGAGATACTGAAAATGTGTTCGTGTTCAGCAAGCCTAAAAACCTCTGTAGGCAAAGGCTTACAGAGTACATACTCCAGCTGTTTTTGCTGTATACTTAAATAATTTCCAGTTAAAATTTTTGAAAAGCATAGCTGGATATGAGTTTCATTTTTAGGATGTTTTGGCTATAATGCACAGCTTTACCCTGTTAAGGAGAGGTACAAAACTGAATAGCTGGAGGCACAGCTATGTACAGTCGCATTGAGGGCCAGTCCTGTAATTGCATAAAATTAGACTGTACTGAAAAAAAAAAAAGCCAAACCCAAAACATTTCTTTGGGACTTGCGGAAAGCCTTCTTATCCCGCTGTAAAAAGTATTTTCTATGTCCTGTGGTAGTCCTTTGGATTTATATGATCTGCCTCCAATAGCTAGACACCTGTCTTTCTGGTTCCAAGATTGGTTTGAACAGTGAAAGTTTATACAATTGGCATTAGAACAGGTGCTATAATTACCCAGAAATAATTTTTCTCATAAGTTTCTTTTAGTTTTGAAGTATTGTTAGACCAGTTGTATTTATGCATAGTTAAACTTTTTTTTACAAGATAATCTATATGTATTGAGTTTAATTACAAAAATAATGAATTACGTTTGCATGAGTGCCTTCTTTATGAACATTTCATTATCTGAATTTGAAGATAAATATTGCTCCAGCTTTGCTCTTTTTGGGAAATAGTGTAGGTTTCTCTAGCTGGTGACTTTTGGCATATCTAACAGATCCAGCCCATTCTTTGCATGCTCTGATTAAGGACCTTTGCTTTGCCTTTGATATGTCACTCACGGAAACATTTCATACTTAAGGCAAATATGTTTCAAACTGAGTTCTAATCCTCATCTTAGTGTTATAGGTATTCTTTTTTTTCTGGTGTATCTTTCTAAGCCTTTTAATGTTAATTAGAAAATTTCTTGTGGTGGTGGTACTTCAGGTGATTTCTGACTGCATCTTCTGCTATGTAAACAACAGCAAATTAAAGAGTGAGCAATGAATTTATTTTGTCAGTAAGAGCTTTAATTATTACTGTGTTCAAAACAACTATGCTTTTCAACTTCAAATATATGAACCTACTTATTTCATTCATCCAGTCCCAGAAGAAATTACAATTTCCTTGGATCCAGCCTTGTAATTGTGTAATTGAGATATTAACTCAAAACAGAAAGTTCATCATCTCTTTCACTTTTAGAAGCTCAGAATACACAGACTCAATAGTTAAGTTAGTACTAACAAATATGAACTAGAGAGGCAAGCTATTGTTTCTATGTGTTCTTCCACTGCTTCTCCTATAGCTTTTCTCTGCCATTGGTCATTGGGGTACTTTCTAGCACACTTAAATCTTCTTCTGATCCTGGTAATGCTTTTGTGTGATAGGGTTTCCAAAGGACTTTTGTTTTCTTTCATCTTTAATTTGACATCGCATGCAACAATGAAAAGAAAAAGGCAAAACACAAAAGCCAAGCACCCTTGTTGTGTAGACTATACAGAGAGTAATATGACTTCTGTTGGGTATTTTGATCATTATTGATTCAATCATCATCTTATCAGCACTAGTTACAAGTGAAAACGAAAAACATCAAGGACCAACCCAACATCCACTATTACACAGTGCTCATTCTGCATGGATCACTCAAGAGAAAAATCTTGCAACTACCACTGGGAGTATTGAACAACGTGAATTTACTGTTGCAGGTGAAAATGATATTGAAAAGGAATCTTCTCATACAGGTAATAATACAGGTCACATTTTAGTAAATTATGAGGGTTTACTAAAGGCTTAGTTTTAGGATTTTTTTTTACTAACAAGTCTGCGTTCTGAGGCCATAACAGGATTTGTTTTTACCAGCAATTCTGTGTTCTGAGGCCATAACAGACGTTCTGCGAATAAACCTGAGCAATTCTGATTTTTGTTTGTTTTGTTTGTTTTAATTACTCTATTCTTCAGACCTGTTCCTGGAGGTTTGTTTTCTCTCCTATTTGGATTACATGTCAAGATCTGTAGTAGATTAATTCTTTAACTGTCTCCTACATCTTATGTTCTGTGTCATGCAGTCACAAGGTTTTAACAGGTTATCTACCAGGGTTGTATCTGCAGGAAACAGTCAATGTTTAAATGGAAAAATAATAATGATTGTTGTGTTTTTGACATATCTGGGAGCTGTGCTCACTCCCCTGTTACAAGTCATTACTGGACCTGGGCTTTTTTTCAGTTTTTGTTAATATGGCAATTATACCTAAAAAAATTTATCTCAAATACCTACTCATCCCACTTTTTAACTATGACAAGATGATACTGGTGTTAAAAGGAAGAAAACAAAGCATAGTGTAGAATAAAAGAGAGGCTTCTCTTTTCCATCGCTCAAAGCAATTGAAACTTAAAAGATCAAATTATAATATGAAGCTAGTAACTGAAAATTGACATATATTAGTTTCTGTTCCTGTGAGTGTACTAAGTTCACTAGTTGATGGCTGATGTGCTGTATTAAGTACTGCCAACATTGAATTTAACACAGTCATCATCTGCTCTTGCAGATTACCAAATACAGGCCACTGAAGACAAGCATATCATGCTTTATGCTGTATAAAGTGGATCTATTCCTTCAACTAAATATAATCTCATTAGCAAAAGTTTTCTGTAGTTTACTGCTTCAGCAGTCCCTAAGCCCACATTCCTCTAAGGTATCAATCCCAGGTGTTTCATCAACATCCTTTAAAAATCTGGTGATACTGTACATGTGTTACTGATATATGGAAATACTATACTATGGTGTACTATACTACTATAGCAATATTATTTGGCCTTGTTGAAATGAAAATTTTAACATACTGTGGGAATTTTCTTGGGTTTTTTTGATTGGGTTGGGGTGGGTAAAGGAGGGTTATACTACTTATAAGATTTGGACACTCTTTTGCTGTGACTGTCTAATAAAAGCTACAGATTGGTTGATATGGACAATATCATATTTTTCTAAATAACTGATATATCAAATATTCTCCAATTGAATGCTGTCTTATTTATTGTGTGCACTATTCACAAATCTGCAGCACCTGCTAGCCTTCCCGTCTGTCAGACTTCCTTGTCTATTTTCCTGGAGATGCTGCAACTAATAAAACAGTGACATTTTGAGGGAAAAAAATTAGTTGTAGCCAATACACTCAAATTCTATGATTAAAGTCTTACTGACAGGCCACATTCTTCCAGTTATTTCTGCCTTTGCTGCTCTTAATTCTGCATCAGTAGCTATTGGTTTGATATTCAACCAATTCAAAACCAACAGCATGATCCGGGGAAATACTTTTGACAAACAATGAGATTTCTTGATTCTGAAAAGCATAGGCTTAGTTTGAGGAAGGAGTCAGTCCTATTGGTGACAGTAGGCAGCTTTTCTAAACATAAACCAGAAGGAGAAGCAAATCTGCTTTACGTCTCCTTGCCATTAAATGTAGTAGACATGTGAGCAAGGCCTGTCATAGAGACAAGAAACGAAGAGGACAATAATATGAGAAATGGATCTTTATATACTGAGTTCATAATTGCTTCACCATCATCATAACAGCTATGTCCTCCAACCATGGGGCCAAACAGAACGACTCCGCGCAAGACATATTGGTGTACCCAGGTTGGGACAAGGGAGAAGATTATGCCACACAACCTACTATAACGGATAGAATTATTCCTTCCAGAGAGAATAATCATGAAAAAGAGTCTTACACTACAGGTACTAGTTATAATGTCAGTTATGTATATTTCATCACTTCTGTCTCTCAGATGGCCTGTGTTGGAAAGATACTGCATGAATTTGTAGAGAGGAGTAAATTACTGATCTCTTAAAGACAGTGATATATATTATAGAGTGATTAATTTTCTCTGTGCTCTGCCTGGATGATGGTAAGATAGAAGTTTTCAATTTTAGCTCTGTATGAAACATTTGTTTTCTATTTACCTACACCACTTCTAGTGCTTTCTGTTCCTTAGTGAAGCATGACTGTGGAATTGCATCCAGTTCATTATATAACTTACATTATTTGGTGTCGCCGAAATGTCTTTACCATCAAGTTGAATTCAAACTTCTGTATATTTGTACATTAACAGGTTAATGCTTTTAATTAGTGAATACTCATCTGTGGAAAGAGGGTTCTTTTCATAGATTTTATCAAAGTATTTATCCCTCTGGTTCGTAGAATGATGAGACAAAGAAATTTACAAAAATGGCATGACATAACATCAAAGTGCAATCTCATATAACACATACCATTTATACCATCAACATAATGTTCTAAAAACTGTATATAAGAAACACATGACTTATTCCTGAAATAAGACAAAAGGTAAATTTAATCCTTTCTTAAACAGAGAAGGCCGAGAACCTGTTTTGATTTTGTGACAACTTGTTAAATTTCTTTTGTGATTACTGTGAGTTCCTCTGACAGTGTATCTCTTCCGTCTCATTGCTCCTGCCATTATTTAGCATTAGACAGCTGTTGTGAAAAAGCAGGACAGCTTAGGTTATGAAGCTAGAAAGCTGATGACAATGAAAATAAATAGAAAAGCCTGTTTTCCTTTCTTCTTTGTCATCCAATCAGAATAAGAACCATAACCAGAAACATACACTGCATATAAAGAAGAGAGGAACAGTGTAGGTGGTGGGTTCAGTAAACACCACACCACAAATTAATAATAGGTAAAATCCTTCAGTAACGCCAAAATTTGAAGCTGGTTCTGGGAGGAAACCTAGTCTTATGACTACCATGAATAGAACAATGAATTATAAACATTTTCTGTAACTTGTCACCACTCACAGTCTTGAGCAACAAAGGAGAATCAATGCCTGTAGAAAGGGTTCTTTACTGTCAGTACTGATATCTGTAACATAAACCACACTCTGGCAGCACTTGACACTGTCCCTGAAGCTGAGGATCTGTGGTCAGCCTGGGATGCGAGTCAAGGAATTCTCCTGACTGCTGTCTCTGTATCCTTTCCCTGTGTCCACTGTCCTTGGGAATCTTTTGAGTTAAGCAAAAAAGTGGATGAGAATAGCAAGTGAAAGTGTCTGATCAATACATTGACAGAGCAGTGGTGATGTATGGGAGGACAGAAGGTCTCCCTTCTCTTCCCTTTTTGTGGTGAGAAAAGGGTAGCAGTGGTTTAAAGTGAACAGAAGATTTGAACATTGTGCTAATGGGAGGGGCACAGCAGCACACACATGGAATTCACATCTGATTAAATCATCGTGGTAACAGCTATCGCCTTTCCTGATGGTGCCCACCACGAAGACCCACCTCAGCTACCTCTGCCTTCAGATCATGAATCTGGACAGGGCACTGAAGTCATCATGCATCCCACAGACGCCTCTGGGGATGGGGTCCTCCACAGGACCACAGTTAGTACGAACAAAGCTGGTGATGACTCTCCTCTGACAAGTACAAGTAAGAATAATGCATCATACTCATTTCTCATGCCTGACGTGAAATGAGACATTATTTCTTCTGAAATTGAATCTTTTGCCTATCTTTCTCATCCTGGGGCTTTACATTCTTGGTGTGGACTTGTAGTGCAAAAATCTGTGATGGAATCTGTGCTGTTGCTAGAATTATCTTCTGGATAAGGGACTCCTTGCTGGTACACTTGGTGGTTTCTGTCCTTTGCTGAAGCATGTTCTGGATGGCTTCCTGACTGTTCTGCAAGAGACACACTTTGGTGATTCTGAATCCCCAGCCTCATCTTTCTTTCTTGTCCATCAGTGGGATCAGGCTTGATGTGATTGCTGTGGTGGAGGTGCTCTGGCGGGTTAATCAGATGGCTTGCTCTTGTGACTCAGCAGCAGCACCATCACCAGGAATTGCTGTCCTGGAGGTGAGGGCAGGGCAGTCATGGAAGAATTATATCCCATAAATTCTGCCTTCAATTCCTTACTCCTCCTCACCAGTAGATTGCCAGGCAAGACCGCCACAGATCTGGTTGCAGTATGGCCACTCACTCTGAGTTATAGGGTCAGGTTGTTGCTGCTGTGGTCTCTTCTTTGGAAAGGCTTCCCTTTCCATCTGTCACTGGGATCTATATAGGTAGCCAACGTCTCCCTGCAACATGGTGAGCATATATGTGGTTCTCAAGGGTCTCTCAGAAGCCAGTGACAGTGTGGAAGAAGGGGAGGTCTTCATGTCTTCTCTTCTCTGTGCTTTGAATGAGGAAGATGGATGTGCTTTCTGGCTTGCTGTGTTACAGGAAAGAGGGAAATAACGTAGGTGGTGGTATTTGTGAATGCTCATTTTTAAAGCTGATCATGCTGTCGTCATGGCAGTCACAGAGTCCATGGATGCTATTAACCAAGAGAAAGCAACCAAGGAGCCACTGTCACCTGGCACTCCACCTGAAAGTGGAAGTGAACAAGCAAATACCACAGATGGTTCCCATGTTAATTGGATACCTGGAGTTTTTCCAGATATTGAAGATCATCTTAACCAATTGCAGACTCCTCTTCCTACTAGTAAGAACTACAGATCATGAGAATTTCCATTTATCCGTCAGTCAGTTATTTTGGATAATAGCAGTGGTTCAAAAACATACGTACCAACCATAATTGTAAATTATTTTTATATTATGATTTCTTTTTTGATTTTTATTATTGTTTATAACCTGCTTATAAGATGTCATTACACCTCCTGTGCAAAGCACAGGATGGTTGCTAAAAGGCTGAAAATAGTGTTTTGCAAATAACCTTTTCGTATATTCTGTTATCTGTATGGGGTGAAACAACTATTGAAGTGAACAAGTGTAAACTTTCTCCTCGTGGCCATAAATATGTGATAGCACTTTGTCTTTTTTGCTAGGCACAAATGATAGCTATGTAACACTTAACTCTTTGTCACTTTTCCCCCATCCGTATTCCCTCTATGTTAGTTGAATATGTACCAAAAGAAAGGTGTATTTGCTGTTGGTATCTAGCTTATCACTGGACTGTAACTGACATTTCATTTGTGAAGGGTTGTTCTTCTGATAGAGTTAGTGCAGTTAGCAGTAACAGGGTTTACTTATTACACTACATGTAGCCTTTCTTTTTTTGTGTGTGGTCACATGCTGGTAGTACAGGAAATGAAGGGACTTTTCCTTATTCCCAAATGCAGTTTCCACATAAATAATCATCCTAACAGTAAGGTTTTTTCCACGTGCTACTTCTCATGCACACTAATCCAAATACTATTTTCATGCACTTTCTTGGAAGTTAGTGGAACTGTCTCAGGGTAGATTTTGCCCAATGCTCTGTGGACATTCTTTGCATATAAGCAAGATTATGTACCTATATTTTTATAGCAGTATACAGCAACCACTTTAAATTTAATTCTGTTCTTAATTAATTCATACATTGTCAGGTAGAATTTGGCCTACTATATTATTTTCAGAAGTTTATATAAACCCAGAAATCAACCCTATAACAATTGCCTGAGTTACAGTATTTTGACATAGGCACAGCAATATAAGTGCAAAATATGTATTTGATAGAATTTTATTGGAAAGATACATCTATTTTTAATAATGGTCTCCTACTACAACAAACTCATTTCTTGGCTTGCTGCCCTATGCACTTAATTAATCCAAGCTGCTTCCTTGATTTTACGTGCAGACATTACATACTATGAAAAAATGTTTGCTGCCTTTCATTTTGAGCACATAAAACCTGTAAGAACTGGTTTGAAGGTGAATGTTTGTGTTGAATCTTTGCATAGTCCATGCCCTGGCAAAGGCTCATAAGGCCATATTCCCAAAACTACTCCTTTTTCCATTTATTTTCTCTTGGTGCTTTTTAAAAACACAAGAGAATTACTAGAGTGCTACCATCATCAAAAAAAAAAAAATTTATTGAAGGGTTCGTTCATTTGTAACTTTGCCCCATATAGCTGTAATGGAATGGAAAAGATTCATTAATGTATTGCCAGACTATAGTTAAAGTCTTCTCTGAACAAATGAATAGCTTGATGTACTACACTTTCTTTCACTTGCTTTTTCTCTACAGCAATGTTTAAGCTGTGGTCTGACACGACACTAACGAATCATCTGTTGTCCAAGTGTTCATGGAATAACAAATCAGTCCACTGAAGGAAACAACAACAAAAAAATAACTATCAAAAAGAAAAAAAATTTAGTATGTCATTAAAAAGAAATGTAGAGAGCTTTTGAGGATCTTTTCCTGCCGCTTGCAAGCACCTCCCCAAAGCCAGAACAGTAGGGGACATGACTGAATCCTACTTCTTCTCAGTGCTCAGGGGAGGGGAAGGGTGAATGTAGCCGTTCTCCAAGCACACAAATTTTAATAAATGTCTGTGAGCCTTTCTAAGTGGTTTTTTGGTGCAAAACCTCTGGCTTTTCTCACGGATGATACAAATCACCTTAAAAAAAATCTGCTGAGGTGTGAGGTAGACAAATGAGTATATTCCTCTTGGTCAGCTTACTTGAAGGCTAGATCAGGACCCTTAGTTGCTGAGTTAGTGCTCTGTTCTTTGGGTTGAGATCGCTGAAAAACAGCTCAACCGTCAATAAGTTGCTTGTTAATAAAAATAGTGAAAACATCTGGAAGACTCATGAACTACTTGCTGGCTAAGCTTAACAGAAGGAAAAAACATGCTTCTCAGTTTAGTATTTGCCAGCTGCTTTTAGGAAATGAGATCAGAAATGCTGGCTAAAAATGAGTTACAATGTGTGTTAAAGAAAAGGAACTTCACAGCTGATTAGAGTGTTTAATTTGCTCTATCAGAGCCTGGAAGAATTCAGAGAGGTGATGCTCTGTAATATCTTTTTTGTGGTGATAATGAAGTAGTAGTCCAAGATGAAATCACTATATCTGTAGTCTGCTGATAATTTTAGACTTGATACATCTGTATGGCAACAGTGTGGGCCAGAAACATAATTGCATAGAAGTTCAAGCGGTATGGCCAGCATAGCAAATGCTTGAGACTGGAAGTATGCATTTTGATTTAAGATCTAATACCATCTTAGAACCAAATTAGATAACTTATTAAAAGGGACGAGAAGATCAATCTCTAAGTTTACAAAGAGCATTTTTTCTATTAGGAAAAATATTTTGAATTTTTAAAGTCCCACCCTATAGATAGCTATCAAATTTAAAACCATTCAGAGAACTATTCTTCTATTTTATGAAAGCATTGGAGTTTTAGAAATTCAGTTTTATCCTGTGTAGGAATAAAATTAAAAGTTTCAAAATTTCTCCATATTGGTCATTTTTGATTTAAATAAAAAAGTAAAGTTTTGTTTGTTTGTTTGTTTTTTCCTCTCTCTCTCCCTTATTTTCTCACTCTCCTTTCCCCGTGGAACAGACAAGATGTTTGACTTGTATGACAAAAATTTCTTCAAAAAGTTACCAACAGTCACATATCCTTACATATTCTCCAGAAAATTTTTAGGCAATTATGATTACATTTTGGTTCACAAAAGTATAGCATAATCAGAACTGAAACATATAAGAGAGACAAGAGGGAAAAACCATAAGTTTCGTTATTCAAAATGCTAAAACTAACCATAGTTTAGATGACTATGATGATTATGTTACAGTTTTCAGTATAAATATTTTTGATGACCTCAGCATGAACTCTCTAGAATATGGTTTTTTAATTGGAAAGTCATAGTCTTTGTATGTCACTGTTAAATAGTCACTAAGCATATTTGGCCTAATGGACAATTTCGTTCTTTAGGATCTACCTCCAGTACATATACCAATCAAGGACCACACAATAGACATTATGAATCCACTACTTTCCCTGGAGATACCACAACAAAAAGAGATTCACAATTAAGGTTAGCCCAGGTACCAGGTAGGTTTTCGAAGTCATATTTTTAACAATTTAAGCACAGAATTGTATTAATATGAACTGAAGTAACAGATGAAAATGTAAGTCAAGTACGGTTGTTCAGACTTTGTTCTGAATCAGATAATATTCAGCATTTTCACTAGCAGTCTGAAAAACAGACCATATTGTGACTCATATAATTTTCCAGCAAAATCAAGATGAGAGAAATCATGCATTTGGAGAATGGGATTAAAATCCAAATAAACTTTATAAATTGATAAGGAACCAGCCAAAAGTCAGTAAAGATATATGCAAAGTATCGTATCTATGAGAATGTTTGGTGAAAATAGTAGCTGAGTGTTGCAGAACAGGGCTTGCAGATTACAATGGAATAGAAAGAGCCAACACCATGGTACAATTGCAAAGAAATGCAAATATATTCTGAGACACATTAACAGTAAAGCGATTTTTAAAACAGAGACAGTAATTATCCCACTCTACTTAGACCTAGCAAAGTCCAGAGCTGAAGCTCTGTGTTCAGTTCAAGGCATTGCGTTAATCACATAGGAAAAAAATGGAGAAGAGCACAAAGAAAATTTTGGAAAGGTAAACTTTGAAGTACTTTTTGAAGAACTCACCATTTTCAGAGAAACTGAAGGGAGATATGAGATGAATATGCTACAGAAAGAATCATTATCAGTTTTTCACCATGGAGTAATAATAATTAACTAATTAGAAGAAGTAATTTGTTTCAAGTTAAATATAGGATACTTGTTAAACAAGGGAGACTTGTTTCAAACAAACAAAATAAAGGAGTTAGCTCTTAGGAGGAGATCTCTGTCTACAATAGTAGTACAACATGAAGAATAGGCTACTGGGGAGATATTGAAACCTCCTTTACTAAAAATGTTAAGAGCAAATGGAATGTTCCTCAGCCATCTTCTTGTTGACCGTGTTTCACTGGAGTGAAATGTAGCTGATATGACCTCTTAGGGTTCGTTCCAGTTTTATATTTCTTTTTTTTTTTCTTGGAGTTTGTTCCCAAAATACCCCTTAAAGAAGATTTTAAATTAAAAAATTAAGATTTCACTCTACCTGAAAGTCATCCTGCTTTTGTGACTGGGATTGCAGGTGTATCATTGCTAAGACTTCTCTTTTGCTTTTGGAGTAAATCAGTGATACAACTCCTCTTCACCTATGCCCACCAAAATGCAGTGCTAAGAGTGATGGGGTATTTCATTTGAGTTGGCCTGTGTATAGCTGAATGATGAAAATGTATTTGATTTGCACAGAAGCACTTTGTAAAACAAACATTCATGTGAACCAGGAAAAAAGTCTGACAGTTTAAAGAATGTAAAAGGGCTTGTGTTCTTGCAGTTCTGCAGAATGGCAAAGCTGCATGCGGTATGTTAACACGCTCTCCTCCCCTCCCTCGATTCTCCCCGCAGGTTGGCTGATCGTCGTTGCTGCTCTTGTGGCGCTTGCGTTGATTCTCGCAGTGTGCATTGCTGTGAACAGTCGGAGAAGGTAAGGCAGACCCTTTACTTTTTCAAAGCACACCACCTTGCTATTTTCTTCATTGAGAGGCTCCAAAGCTTCGTGAAAGAGCAGAGTAGCATAACACAGGAAAGAGCTTTCTCTGCGAAACTCTGTGACTTGGGGTGTGAGGGCCTAGGTCTTTAAAAGTAGGGACTGCCATTGTTTCCTCCCTCTTAACCCAGAGTCACCATAGGAACAGACAAACAGGGCCACAATAGCTAATTATAGATTGCAACTAATAAGATATGAAACAATCTGAGAGCTGTAAATTATGCCCTAGATACCATTAATAGAAAACATGTCTTTTACTTAGAGTTTCCATGCAGCGCGGAGTCACAAAGAGAGAAAGTGCATGTAGGTGCATGTATGTGTACGAATGCATGGATCAGACCCTAATAATATGTGTTAATCACTGTAAGGAAAACTTTTTGAAGCAGGGACTACTCTAGTGTGCTTGAAACAAGTGGAATTTTTTCTTTCACTTTAGCAGTGTTGTGGTTTAGCCCAGTTAGCAACTAAATGCTACACAGCCTCTCACTCACCCTCCCCCACCCCCAGGAAGTGGGGAAGAGGATTAAAGGGAAAAAGCGAAGGCAACCTGTGGGTTGAGATAAGAACGATTCGATAGTAACAAAAATATATTTATATATGTGCGTAATAATAATAATATATACAGACAAATGATCCACAGTGTAATTGCTCACCACCCAGTGAGTGACACCTGTCCCGTCCTGGCAAACAATCCCAAAACAGTTAAGTCCTAACACCACAATCCCAGACAAGCGAGAGGCCCAACAAGAGAGCAAGGGAGAGAGAGAGCGCTCCAAGAGACCAAGAAAGAGCCCTCAGAAGAGAGTTCCCAGAAGAGCAAAAGCCCTTCTTCTCTGTCAACACTCCTTTATATACTGGGAATGATGTTGCATGATGTGGAATACTCCATTGGCCAATTTAGCCCTTAATCCTAAATCTAAATCCAGATCATAAGGGGAGTTGTGAACCCTTTGTCTTGGCCAGGCTCCCCTCCAGCCTGTTGTGCTCCTGCAGATGGGCAAAAACATGGGAAGCCGAAAGGTCATTGAGGTCTCAGTGACAGCTATAAACATCAGTGCGCGATCAACATTCTTCTCATAACGAATCCCAGACTAAAACCAAAACACAGAGATCTCTTAACTGATAAAAAGAAAAACTAACTCTGTCCCAGATGAAACCAAGACAAGTGGGATCCAAATGATAACATGACTAAGTCAAGAATCCTTTCTTTGTCTATTCTGATTAAGTACTAATACGCTGAAAATTCATGGAGAGATAATTGCTGTGCAGTCAGCATCCTGCACGTGAATGCCAACTAATCCAAAACTAACACTGAAGTAGTGCTATGAGAAAATCGGATAGCTGAGAAAGGAGGATTGAGCATTCCAGTGTTAGCTGAGCAGTAAGTTGAGAACGTTCCGAGCATTAATTTATTTAAAAAGTGAGAACTATCTGCATAATGCTGTCAGTTACAGCAGTTTTTAAATGAATGCTAACTGCAGCATTTCCACTTTCAGTCTCATTCGAGTCGTCTGAAAAAGCCTAATGAAGTGTAGGTCTTACTTTCAAGGTAGTTAATTTCCTGATTCATAAATCAATAGATTTAGCCTTTTTAGTTAGGAGGTAAATATGGCTGAGATTTCAAGCATTTCAAACAAGCAATTGGGCCTTCTCAGTAAATAGCAAGTTACTTGGCTACAGTATTTTCCTTTTTTTTTTTTTTAATGTAAATTGATGCTGTCATAAGTTATCTTAACCAAAACCCAAAATGGCCAAGGTTCAGTGCAGTCCTCTTTAGTTTGCTAGTTATTCTCCTTGCTGCACAGAACAGTTATTTATTCCCCTTGTTGCCTCTGTCTGGTGCCTGTTGTAAAAAGCGTTAGGATCTTCATCCAGGGTCCAACAGAAGATGCTGTCCAGCCTGACCATCACATCAGCAAAGACACTGAGCTGCTCTTTCAAGAGGCTGCCAGCTCCACAGCTCCTTACTGGCCTCTTTTAGCATTTCATGGTTGCAGAGCAGGAGTCATTCCCAAGGGGGTGTGTGACATTAGCACAGTGAACTCAGCTATTTCAGATAAAATAACGCTCATTTATCAATCACTGATCATGAAAAAAGTAATATTTTAGAAGGATAATAATATAACTAAACTGCCAAATTAGTCATTCAGGCAAAATATGCCTCATTTAAGAAGAAAGCACTTTAAAGTACAACTTCACACAGATATTGTCCCTCTTAAGAGAAGGTGCTTAGTGTATTTGTTTACACAAGGCTATTGGAGGACAAGTAGGATGTTCATCACTGCGAAGCCAGAGAACCATCTTAACAGTCTGGGACAAGTCTGACAGCTGTGTAACTAGTACTTTTTTACTGCCCTGAAGAATACCCAGCCCTTGTTGATCAGCATGCATCAGTTTTGGACTGGTGACTTCTTAAAAGAGCATGTGTTTCCATGTGTGTGTTCCTTCAGAGCTACATGAAGAGTTTACTGGGCAGCACTGCATTGAGTGTGATTTTAAAGCACAGTAGCTACTTCCTACCTTAATATCATAAGAAGCTGTGCTATTGGTAGTAGCAAGAGTACTTCTCTGTATTTCCTTACTGTTGGTGGGCTTCTAGGCCTGACATGCTAATACAAAGAAGAAAAAAGTTATCTTGTATAATGAAGTGAGAGCTTGATCCAAATTTTCTGCTATCTCAAGAACTTGAGCAGTTTCAAAAGTGTGGTCCCGAGTCTGGATTTAGACTGACCCTGTCTTTACAGTGGGATATATGCAAAGTTCATAAATGTGGATATATCCAAATGTTAGAAAATCTTTTATAGCTTTCAGGAATGAATGTTATTCCTACCTGTAGTAACGATAGATATAAACTGAGTAAGTGATTTCCTGCCAAATTTTATGCATATAACAGTGGATGCTTTCAAAAAATAAAATATGCTATATGGAGAAACTTCACACTTTGCATTATAGAAGTCTGTACTGACAGACACAAGTTTCATTTCCAAGAACCTTTTCCTAAATATTGACTCTCAAGCTTTTTCTTGTTTTTGATAGTCTCCACTTATACTACTTATTTACTTTTTATTTCTTTCTAGATGTGGGCAGAAGAAAAAGCTAGTGATTAACAATGGCAAAGGGGCAGTGGAGGACAGGAAGACAAGTGGATTAAATGGAGATGCCAGCAAATCACAAGAAATGGTGCACTTGGTTCATAAAGAACAGTCAAATGACCGAACAGGAGCATGTGACGAATTCCTTACCGTTAATGAAACACAAAATCATCAGGAGCTTAACATGAAGAGTAGAGTGTAGTGGTACCAAGTTGCTAAGTAGATCAGAGCTGGAGAAATCAAAAATGCATAGAACTTGGACAGGAATTCACAGATGCACTGTGCTACTGATGTCTTTTGAACTTAATTAAACATAAGATTTATTCATTTTTAATCACTTTACAATTATATCTGAGTGATAAAATTGACATTAGCTTTCTAAAATAAGCCCCCAAGAGTTGCATACTGTTTTCAGTTCTCAGTTCTTACACAGAGGACACTCACTGTGTCCTGGGTGTTAGGAGGAATATAAGTTTATGTCATTGTTCCCCAGATGAAGGGTCTTTGCTGTGCAGAGCTGTACAGAGCTATCCAGTCACTCCATCTTACGGGCATTTAAGGTACTAAACTTGTCATGGCACAAGAGTAAGTGAGGAACAAATGTCAAGAGCAAAAATCAAGTTTAAACTAAAAGCCTCCTATACAATGTCTAAAACATTGGAATCCTTCAGAAATTATTTCTAGCCAGGAAGAGCAGTGGGTTCATCCAAAGTCTGCCAGTATAAACAAAAAGTGACATTTTATAATGATTTATGACTTGGTCAGCAATGAGGGAAACCCAGAAGGACAAAATTTATTTATCTCCATGTTTAAATGTCTATGGGCATAGAACAAATCTTCTTGGGAGGGGACATAAAGAGATGAAAACATGAGCTGATACATAATAAACTTCAATGCTGTATTATCCTAACCATCTGTAGAGTTATCCTTGAGTTTTTGAGGTGTTCATTGTTGTTCCCCCTCCCTCCTTCACTGGTCACAGTTTGTGCACGTTTTTAATGAGTCTGTCAGTTAGGGTAATGAATAAAACAGAAGGACGTCAGCAGTGTCACACATGCACAACTCAAGCAATTGGAGATGATTAGGGAAGATGACAGTATTTTATTCCTGAAGAACAGATCTCTGTCTTCTTCTGCTCCGTTTTACTTAGGAGATCCTGAGCCTAGTAAAACTTGTTTCCCCTATAACTACTATGTTACACCAGTTTGCTGATATTTTAAAAGTTGCCTTTCTATGATCTCACTCACTTCCTCTGAATTCTGTTTCATCCACATTTTCCCCTCTGCTTTTTAAAAATACCAAAAGAAACATTGCTTGCTTATTGTTACCAGAAGTTCAAATTCTACAAAAAAGATCAAAGAAAATTAAAGGAAACTCTCTCAGCCAAGTAATATAGTAAAGTAGCTGCAGCTGCATTGTTATATGCTTTTGTTTTGTCCTTATGTGTCTGTTATGTAAAGTATTTGTATTAAGCTATGATGCTGTGCATTATATTGATATGAATTGTCAGAAAGAAAATTATTTACTACCAGCGGTCTGTGCCATTTTTAAGAAAGCGTATTGGGATGGAAGGAGAATGATAACTTCTAATTGGGCTGTCTCAAAAAAATGCAAGTGAAAACAGTCTAATTGCAACCAGTGGTCTGTATCAGTTGTGGGATGGGAAATGCCCTGCAGCAGGGTTATTCAAGTGTCCCTCTTCACTGACCATAGCTCCTGCCTTTGAAACTGTTCTCCTGGAGCTTGTTATTTGATGTTCTCTATCTGAAGCAATTTGGAAGATGAGTATTCAGCTGGCTAAATACTAACATTAGTTAGCACTGATCTTTACTGGAACATAACGCACAAGACTGTTGATTATATTTCTCAGTCACAGCCCTCCAGCAATTTCCTGTGTGTTTCATCAAGTTGCTCAGTGCCCTGGTATCTGCAGGCAGATCTCCTCAGGGACAATTTATACCTCAGCAAAAGGTCCCAAGAAGAGGTGTGATTTTAAAGTACATGTAGGATGTTTTCTGACTCCGTGTAGGTCAGCATGTTTCATCTATCAACAGCCACGCAGCTTGTGCTCCAAAGGTGTTCAAACAAGCTGAAGCTAGTGGGACGAGATCATTTACACTATGAGTACTTGAGGCCCACTGTCAAACTTAGTCCTTTCATGTATTTTAATACTGAACTGTGTAGTGGGAAGTCTGTTGACTCTATGCATTGATTTCTGTTTAATTCCTGTAATGCTTTTAAGCAAACTTTTCTATTTGTCCTTATAAATCAAATCAAAATGATCTATTGAAAGCTGTGTTTAAACTGGTGTTATGTACTAATTTCACTAAGTATGGAGATCCAGAGTAAGAATTATTCCTCTCTTTAAATCCTAATTGAATATAGGTATCAATCAAAAGGAGATATTTCCTTGTCTTGGCTAAATTTTTCTTGAAAAAAAGGAAAAATGCTCCCTATTCAGATGTTTAATGGAGTAATCAACAAACTCCTTCCTAATTTGTCTAATGTTCAGGAGCTATAAATGCACAGACAATACGGGTTGGCTTTTTTTATTTTTTTTTTAATAGAGAGATACTCAAGTTCTCTTTACAGAGGCAATGCCATTGTTTTATACATGCTGATCTTTTTAGATTGTCACGTGATTCATGTGTAATTAAGTTTCATTATAGTTTCAAAACTAAATGGCAATCTTGTGTAATATAGTACATATCTTTATTAATCTTGGTTTTATTATTTGAGGGATTGTTTGTTGTGTGTATGTATTTTTTATATAAAGCACTTCATATATTCGCATATTTATTTAACAGATTAATCAGAATGAAAGAAAATATAATTTCTAAATTGTGATTAGAAATGATATTGTTAAAAACACATTGAACTGTAAAATAAGCTTCAGAAAAATAAACTTGAGTCCACATTGAGGATAAAAAGTAAGACCAGCATTTTTAGTGGGAGAGAAGTATTCAGCA